AAAAAAAAAAAAAAAAAAAAAAAAAAAAAAAAGAAGATATATTTTAAAGTGAGCTCATTCATATTACTCACTCCTTTCAACAATTTCATAATGAAAGAAACTTGATTTTTTTATATTTTAAAAGTAAATATTCCAATAAAACTTATTAAAAATTTATAACAAAATATATTTTCGACTAGCTAAATATTTAGTTTAACATATCACTATTTTGATAGAATATACTAGTGATGGGCATTTTCCAATATTTTAAACTATCGAATAGTATTTGATAGTTTTTAAAAATATTCTAATAAACTATCGAATAGTTTTAAAAAATATTTAAATGGGCTAATGAATGGTTTTAAAAAATATTCGATTAGTTCTATCTAAAATTTTTATTAAGTACACTTAATTATAATAAGAAGATAATTAGCGAATACTTAAAATAAATTATTATATAATCAATAATAGTAAAAAGTACTATTTTATTTATTTTTAGTTTGTGAGTCGTTGGTAAAAACTGATAAATATGGGTCGAAAATTAAAAAGCAGTTCTTTTTTTTCGATGACTAATGATATATATTTTCAGTTTTATTGGAAAGGTTTGTTCTATGCGCAACAGAAGTATTCGTAAATACTAAAGTCTTATTTTACAATTAATACCTTGTATACTGTTCTTAGTCTAGCATTACCTGCTCTTTTGTCTTGCAAAGGCATAACACCGATAAAGAAGACAGCGCGTTTTAAATATTTACGTTTGTAAATTGTGTTCGAATTGTGTTTATACCACCGATTATTTTATTTTTATCATAAACTATCAAATATTTTAAAAACTATTCGAATATATGTGTAACTATCGAATATTTTTACTATTCGAATAGTTCGATAGTTACTATTCGATATTTCCCATTACTAGAATATACTCTTTTAGGGCAATTTTGGATCAAGTATAGTTCAAAAATATTGAAGGAGTGAGGAATGTATAAAACATATTGATTTTTACCTGAAGATTTTCTTCACTAGTATTTTCATTCTCTTGTGGTTTAGTGAGAAGAGCATGGTTACAACATTTTTTTAGCTCAATCATTATATTAAGAAATGTTGTTGAAGAGCCTTTAGATCCCTTTCTTAAAGCATTGTAATTCTTAGTTAAAATCCATTTGTAATATTTTCTTTGAACTGTAGTCATTTCAACTCTTAAAATTTGTTCAACCTTAAAATTGAAATAAATTAATAATTTATTGTTAATTTTCTAATTCTAAGCAAATAAATGCTGTCACAAAGATGAATTCCATTTGTAATACTTATGTTTACATAAATATTATAATATTTTCTAATATTAATTTTATTTTTATATCATTTTGGAGTTGTTTGTAAAATGATGGTACAGTATAAATAATACCACATACATGTTGTAAACAAGGTTTCTTAAAAAAATATAAATCATAGAATGTCATAGAACATCAAATAATAAAATTATAATTTTATTTTTTTACAAAAACATTTGACTATTAAATTATATAAAATACAATTTATATTAAAGAGCAAGAGATAGAAACAATCAAAATTAAAATATTTTTATAAGAATTGACTTTATTTAACTTTGAAAGTAATTGGAAATTACCTTAGCTGGTAATGATTTTTCGACATCTTTTTTTACTCTTCTTAAAATATAAGGTTCAAGTTGTCTATGCAATTTTGTATATCCCTTGCTGGCTGCATTATCATGCATATGTTCAAATTCAGTCCAAGAATCAAACCTAAATTTTTTTTAATATAAATTTTTTTTTTTTTAATTTATCTTGTGAAATGTACCAACTTTTCTGGCATAATAAAATGTAGTAATGCCCATAACTCTTTTAGACTATTTTGCAAAGGAGTTCCTGTTATAAGCAATCTGTGATTAGTGTCAAATCCTTTAAGAGCTTTGTACAAAAGAGAATCATCATTTTTCAAACGATGAGCCTCATCAACCATCAAACAAGCCCAACTAAGACTACTTAATAATAGACTATCTTTGAGTAAAATTTCATAGGTAGTAAGAATAGCATTAAATTTCAGTCTTTTAGAACTTTCAAAACACCATTCTGTTTCACGAATCTATGAATAATAACAAGACAAACATTATTTTTTAATAACTAATAATAGCATTATATATTTACTTACTATGTTTCGAGATTCCACATCTCCTATATAAGTTACAATGTTTATATCAGGCGCCCATAAACTAAATTCACGTTGCCAAGAAGGCATTGTTGATAAAGGTACAACAACAAGAAATGGTCCATGAACCTGATAATTGTGAAATAAATAGTAAAGGAAACAAATGGTTTGTATTGTTTTTCCAAGACCCATTTCGTCAGCAAGAATTACTGAATTATCTTTGCACCATGAATGAATTAACCAATTTACACCATGAAGCTGATAATCTCTAAGTTTAAGTTTCTAAAAATAAAAAAAAGATAACTCATATTTAATTTCAAACTTAAGAAACATAATATTCAAAAATTTGATTAGTCTCATGTACCTCATCATATCCACCAAAGTACTCTGGTTCTTCTGTAAGTTGAATAAATTTCGGACGATACTTTAAGGCTCTACACGCCTTTGAAGGTGTTCTCTTTGAGCTCTCACGATCCCGAAATTCTTTTATTTTTTGTGGCCATTTTTGCTCAATTAAAGTTGCGTCTTCCCAGGTTGCATCACTATAAGGCAATGATTGCCATTTAACATAATATTCTTTTTGGTCAGAATTTTTAGATTCTCCTAAAAATTTATAATTACAATTTTATTTGACAATTTAAAAATAAAATATTAATTGTATTAAAAAAATAATTTATAAATTACCTATTATTCTTTCGACAGTGTTATAGCTTTTTAACAAATCTTGTTGAAGTTCTAATTGACATTCATAGTACTCAAAGTCTTCTGGTGACATTTGATCACGCCAAGCATTAAGAGAATTTTCTCGTTTAATGAAATTATCAATTTTTTTTAGACCTTTCACTTTTTGGTTCTGTAATGAATCTATTGATTCCCAGGTATTGTGTATGTGTGACCAGCCTTTCCATTTGATTAAATATTGAGTTTCTTTTTCTTCAGGAAAGCAATCAATGTTTGGATCTCCATTGTTTTCAACTGCATACATTGTAGTAATATTACCAATAACTCCCTTTTTTCCTAGTCTTTGGGATAAAACTTTTTCTATTGTTTCTGAATTATCAGGTTCTTCTTCTTTTTCTTCAACTTCTTCTTTTTCTAAATAATCATCACTGTCACTTTTTTCACTTTCTTCTTTATAACTAACGGCATTAGGTCTCCGCCTAGCATTTCTTAAAAATTGAAATAATTACTCAAGTTTTAGAAGTTTTATTTTAAAATAACTACTATATTAAATTTAAATACAACAATAAATGGTTTATGGTAAAATAAAGAATTAAATTTAAAAAAACGGTAGCACAGTGGGGTCGAGGCACAGTGTAGACAAGGCATAGATGGGACAAGTATAGATGATATTTGACAGTGATTTAAATCACTATCATAAGAAACGCTTCGATGCAAATCTGTAGATAGTATTTCATTTTAAAAAAAAATTTGTTAAAATAGCATATTTTTGAATACGGTAGTAAGTTGAAAAAGTTATTTTTTGTAAAAAAGTTACTATTTTAAATCCCCCCAGTGAACAGAATAAGTGGTAGATTTCCAAAAAAAATTATATCAAATGAAAGGGAAATATCTAAGGTTTTAATACAAAAAAATATTATTTTTATTTGTTAATTTTTGAAAAAGTTATGGCAGTTTTAAGCACAAAAAACATCCCGATAAAAGGTAATTTTTATCGCAATCATTACATTTTTTTTTAATTTTCGACAGCCATTTGCACATAGAAGATAGATCGTCGGGACAAATTTTTTTTTTTTATTTTATAGTACATATAATAAGCTTTAATTTTATATATGTTTAAAGGACGCAGTATTTCCGGAACACTTTCAAAAGTTCAGTTGAAAAAGATCTATGTTTTTTACAATATTTCAAGTTTTGAACGCCCCCTATATAAGGGGAAATTGTCTAATTTTAATAAAATGTATTTCAGATGAAAGATGTACTTATAATGTATTTAGAAAAAAAAAAATTGTGCTGATACATACATTTTTCAAAAAGTTATAGCATTTTTAAGTTGAAAATTAAAAATCGAAAATCTAAAATTTTAACGCAAAAATAGCGTTTTTTTAACTACGGCAGCCGTTTAAATGTAGAAGAAAAAGTGTCGGGACAAATTTTTTTTTTTCATTTTGTAGAACATAAAATAAGCTTTAATTTGATATATGTTTGAAGGACGCAGTATTTCCGGAACATTTTCAAAAATTAAGTTGAAAAAGTTAATTTTTGTAAAAAAGTTGCTACTTTAAATCCCCCCTAATGAGCAGGTTAAATGATAGATTTTCAAAAAAATAATATAAAATGAAAGATAAATATCTAAGGTTTTAGTATAAAAAAAAATTATGTTGATTTGTTGATTTTTCAAAAAGTTATGGAAGTTTTAAGAAAAAAAAGTGAAAAAATTTCAAAAATTAGCGATTTTTAAATTTGTAATTTTTTTGGATATTTCCCCCATTTGCGGGGAACGAGGGAATTTTTTTCAATTTTTAAGGGTAATGTCTTCAACTAGATACGATTTGTGATCTTTTGACGTATTTTTGAAAGAAATCGGTCCAGTGAGAGCTGAGAAAAAGTGGCAACAGACATAAAAAAAAAAAAAAACACATCATAGTAAAATTAATACCTTCTCCGCTTCGCATCGAAGCTAAAATATTATTTCCTTTATTTTGTTAATAATTAAATATAAAATTAAAATTTTAATATTCAATTTAAAATAGTTTCAGATTAATAATTATCTTTCAAGTGTATTTATTAGAATCCTTTAAATTCAACGTTAGAAAATACTTCAATGAAGTATAACAATAATTTTATAGATAGTAATATTAATTACAGTCAATATATAAATTAACAGTAACTGAAGATCAAAAGGAATAATTGTATTAGTAACTAAATGGAAAGCCGATTTTAAGAAACCTAGAAAATGGCCTAGACAAAAATGAATAGATAGAATACAGGAAGACTTAAAACTTTTGAATGTAAAGAACACAGAAGATAGAGATATGAAAACAATGTGTTGTTGCAGAATTGGGCCTGTTAAAGAGACTGTTATAGCCTAGAAGAAAAATAAAAATAAAATGCAATTTTTTAAGTTACACCTTAAATTTGAGATAATAACAACATAATATGAGATGGGAAATTAGAAAAGAGAAAGGAAAAAAACTTACTCCAATCTCAAAAAAAAAATACCTGTTAGTTTTTGAATAAATTCATAAAAAAAATCAGTAACGAACAGGCATTCTGTAAGAGTTCATTTAAAGATGCTAAAGCTTCAGCTTAAAAATCATAAGTTGGTATTTTTATAATTTAATACTTATACATAGGTTAGCAATTGTTATTTGTAAATAAGCAAGAAATTTTCTTATGAAATGCTATGTTTATATTTTATTATTTGAATTAAAAATTATAAGAAACACTAACTATTTTTTATTGATATATTTTACAGTCTATCACACTTATAATTTTTATAAAAAAATTGAAAAATACATAGACTTTATGAAGTATACCTTGATTTATTAAAATCTTCATCATCACTATTACCACTATAACTATTAGCTTTATTTTTATAACGATAGTTGGCTTTGATAGCAGGCCGTTTAACTGTTTGTTTTTGACGGCGTAATGTAGCTAATGATTTACTACGTGGTATCTCTTCTTTGTCAGTTTCAGAATCATAGTCTGAACTATCACTTTTCCATTTTCTATTAACATTAAAAACATTAGTTATCTATAGAATTTTTAGTTCATATTTTGAAGTAAAATAATCAATAGGAATAAGATTTCATATATTAAAAACATAATTATTTAGTTTATTAAAAGAAAAACATGCAGAAATAAGAGCAAAATTTATTTTTAACGAATCTTTAATTAAATATTCTACAGGTAATAATGAAACCTATTAAGCTGACATAAAGCTTTAAAAGATATATCTAGAATATTAATTTTTTTTATAAATACTATCAAATATAGTAGTCTCAAAAAGCATAAAACAATCCCAAAATCAAGCTGAAACATTTTATTTGACTCTGAGAAGAAATCATAGGCATTGAATATTAAATCACTCTTTTTAAAACGGTTTATTTTTACATTTACCAAGACTAAAATCTGTAATACATGATATTTACAATATCAATAAAAAAATTATTATATAATATTTAATTGATAAAGGAAAAATTAAAGTAAAATTTATATTACAGTAGATTGACAAACAAAAGTACCTTTTTCAAAGTACTGAAAATTAAAAAGAAAAAAAAATAACTATAATTCCTAAATGATTTATAATGAAGTTAAAAAATGTTATTGAAAGATATCCATTTAAAAGTTAAAAATATAATTAAATTAAACTTGCGTTTTGGTAACTTTTGACCCATAATCACTAGAATCGTCAGTTTCACTAAGTTTGGAGGAAGTTTTTATAACTCTCTTGGGTCGTTCATTTGGACTATATTCATCGGTTGAGTGTTCAGAACTATTTGCCTCTTGAGAAACATCTTGGTCACTATGTTCTGAATAACTAATATAACATAAAGAATTTTCATAATGTATTTTGTTATTAAATACAAAATTTACAATTTTTTTATTTCAATAAAAGTCATAAAAAAATATTATGGCCACACATGGTCTTTCACCATTATTATATATAACATTGTAGAGATGACGTCGCTCTCAACTACTTTTTAGGGCTCAATCTTGAGTTCAACCAAGTACTAGGTTAATCTGAAACTTGGTTTGTAGTACTCGATTTCTAATAATTTATTTAACCTGCTTTAACTTAATACTCGGCCCACTACTACCTGGAATATCTTTAATTAAAACCACACTAAAATATAAAAGTGAGATGTTTTTTATCTCTATGATCCTTATGCATATACTAAATTAAAATCAGTTACTAAGATACTTTCTTTAAAATGTTTACATTTTTGGTTTTATTTAAGTATTTTAACCCACCCATAACACATCTACTGAAATAAAATATCTGCTAATGGAATGATTGACAATACTCCTAATATATATTTTTTTGTATTAGGAATTAACTATTTAAATAAAAATTTTCTATGCTGAAAAATCATTTTTTCCAGAAGATAAATAAAAGATGTAAAAGTTATCAATAAAACAAATATTATAGATTTACTATACAGAGTAATTGGTTTATCATAAACTATTTGATAACTCTTAAAATAATCAAAATATTGAGAAATTAATAGTTTGCTTTTATAAATTAAACATATTTTTGATTTATTTACCAAGTTATCTTTAGTATCATACCTTTTAACATACAGAAGTGTCAACTTTATTTTTTTGAATAGCAACGAACATAAACAACTAACTTGTTAAATAGAAAACTATCTAATTAAAAAAATGACTAGTCCATAATAACTATTGGATCAGTACTTCGGATGTTATTAAGAGTTTTTAGCAATTGGTGATGAAAAATGGGTGCAGCTATCTTTGTCACTAGTAATTCCCCCAACTAACTCTTTCTCTAATCAAAGTATAAAAATGAAAATAACTTCCAGAATGATTCAAAAGTTGTTATTGACCAGTCATTTTCTTAATTACATCATTATTTTTCAATTAATCTAATTAATTACGTAAGTTGTAATAGTGTTGACACCCATATAAGTTATAATAGATTTTCCAACCCAACCCAACCATAGCTAATAAATCAAGAATATGTAACTAAAAACTTTTTCTCATTATTGTATTTATTTTATTTTAATCAAGTGGTTTATGATAAACAGATCACTCTATATATTTACAGCCTGGTTTAAGTTCAAACATTTTATTTATTATTTTATTATAACTAAAAATAAAACATTGTTAATGACAGATCTAAGAGTCAAGCCTTACTAAATTTTATAATACATATTTTAAGTGAATAGGCATTTTCATTTATACGATAGAAAATTATTTTTTATTAAATTAAACAAACTAAATTAAGATTTTTAATGTGAAATAAATATATTTTCTTTATTTAAAAGAGTGAAAACATGTAATTTTCAGTAAAAAAAAAAATTAATTAAATAAAAAAATACTATCAATAACTGAAAACTATATATTTTTACTCTTAAATTATATGTGCAAGATATGTAGATCATTTGTTAATGCAAATGACACTTAAAACGGGTCCTAGAAATTTTTTTTTATTTTTGATTATTAAAATAAATTTAGTATTGAAGTTACAGACATATAGTATCTTAATCATGTTTAAAATGCTTTTTACTTATTTCTAAAACATTTGATACTCTCACTCTTTATATATATATATGGAGTCTCAATAGGTTTAGACATCTTATATAACTTTTAATTCAGCAAATATTTTGCATTATTTTTTAATAATTTTTTTAGATTTCATTAAATAACTTTTTCTAATCAATTTAAAATAAGAAAAAATTTTAAATAAAATTAATAATTTATCAATTTTTTTTTCTTCAAAATAACCTTTATTTATAAAAATGTTTAATGGATGAATAACAAATTATAGGTTAAGTACTTATTGAGTTAAAAGCATTTAATTTTAGAATACATATGTAGTGCAGGTAGGTACTGCTCATGCTAATGAATGTACACTCCACCCTCAGTTCATACCTATTCAATGTATTAAAAAACTTGCAACTTTCTTTTTATCCCTGCACAACATAATTATGGAACGCCATGAAACTACCATTGGGTATTACTTCAGAATAATCCACGCTGTGTTGTGACTCAACTTTAGATTAATTTCGGACTGAAACACAATATGACGTGTCCTCTCTATTAGCCAGACTACAGAGTGAGATCCATTGCCTAGGTTAACCCACATTGAGGTGGAGGCAGGACTTTACTCGAATTGGTTTTATAATTCAAACTCAATAATGACAACAATTAACACAAAGATGAAGTATCAGTTGAACAAGTGCCTGATGTCTCGTGCCCTAAGACTACAGGTTGTCTGTGTCTCTGACACTCCACTTTATCCTTCATCGCTTGAGAGAGACTTGGTATATCATCTTCCCAAAATGCTTGTAACATAGTAAGTACTTACACTAAAATTTTTATTAAACCATTAAACATTTTTGTTAATAAAGATTATTTTGAAATTAAAAAAAATTTTATTTAAAATTTTTTATATACTTATTTTTTTTAGACAGATGAAAATTATTAAGAAAAAAAAAAGTAATGCAAAATATTCACTTGAATAAAAGTTTTTAAAGATGTCAAAACTTGGTGCGACACTATACATATAAAGTTAATAAAATTATCATTTTATATTCTAAATTTAATATGTAAATCATACAATTCAATTATAAAACTTCATAAATGATAATTTATAATATTTTTAATTACAACTTAAGAAGAAAGTTTTATAGAAACATTTTTTTTTTGGAAAAAAAGTTTTCACAGCCATTATAATGGGATCAATTAAAAATTGACGATTCCACTGAGCTGAAGTTGCATACTTTTATAAATAATAATATGTACAAGTTTCAATTTGTTATATATAAAATTATTCAACTAATAAATAAGTAAAATAAAGACCCCTATGTGATAGATTCTGCAGTAAAGTAAAACAGAGCATCATGTCACTTTATTAGCTTTTATAAAATATTTAATAGTATATAACAGCAATGATATATCAACTACTTTTAATAATATCTAAAGAACCAGTAAAAATAAAAATATCAAAATTCAAGAAATAATCAAAACTCAATCTTTGTTTATATTCTAAAATTAAATTTTTTTAAGAATAAATTATCTCTTTACTGTTTGAGCAAAAACAAAAGTTGTTTTCATTTAAAACATTAAATGAAATGTATTTAACTTGTAATTACTTGAAATAAATTAATACAACTTACCTGTCAGAAGTAGAAGCTGAAGATCTAGAATTTTTATCATTATTTTGATCAGAATCTGATGAATCTTCTTCCGAGGCATTCTACAATTTTATATTATTTTAATGATTGCATTGATAAAACTACCATCGGTTTCATAACCTTCCTTCTATAGATTATCTTGTTTATATTTTTTAATTATGTAATTTTTTATGGTTTGGTAATTATAAAGAAAATGTTACCAATAGCAATGGTGAGTTGTGCAACTTTGATTAAAGGTGGTACTTTTGTAAGAAGTATTAACAATGGCATGGATATTAAATACTTTATACTAAGGAGATATATAAACATAAGAAAAATAAAATTAAAGGAAAAAAGTTATGATTATATAAATTATATTATAATGAGTTATAATCAATCAGTTTATTCCCATCTTTACAAATTACTAAAAATACCACATGGATAATTTTTAAAATAGCATCATTAATATTTCATTAAGTTTTAACAAAAACAAGTTCTTTATTTTTATATCAAAATGTTTTTATCTACAACCATTTAAATTTATAAAAGTAATGTGTTATACTATAACTATACATAAAAAATCATAGTAGGATAAGGCATAGTCAACAATAAGTTCTTTTTTTATAATTACAAATAATTAAATATATTTTTAATTTAGAGTTACTCACAAATTAAGCATAATTCAAAATAACTCATTATTATAACACCAATTATACAATTCTAATAAAAATATTTAGTAACATATTAAATACACAGTATTTTAGTAGTGATCTTAGTTATGACATATAAGAACTTTATCTTAAAATTTTAAAAATGGGTCCGACTCCAAAATTAAAGTTTTATACCTCAATAGCTCTAATATAATGTAGACAATAAATAGAAGTACAAAAATTAACTGTCCAATCTTTTGAACAACCCTTATGGCACTTTTAACATAATATAGGGTGTAAGATATTCTATTTATATTAATATAAAATAACAGGAAAACTTCACTGAAATTAAATTACACGTATCAGCCTATAGTGTCAAATACATGAGAAATGAACTATGAACAATAAAACATGAAAATTTGAAACTCTAATTATATCAAGTGTACAATAACAAAAATTTATTTAACACGGTGTGAATTAATAGTATTTCATTAAAACCCAAAATAAAGAACAATAAGGTTGGTACTATTAAACATTTTAGTTGTATTTAAATTATGGCAAAAAATAGATTACAATAACATTTAACATGAAAAAATAATTACTATTGGTGACATTTGAGGAAATTTCTTACCTGATGCATTTTTAGTAACTACAGCTGTTTTGGATTGTCTCACTACAGTTTAAAAAAATATACGCATCAAATATTTGAAATATTAGATTTACATGAAAATAAAAATAATAATATTTTAAATTTGGAGGAAAAAAGAAAATTTTATATTTCACCCCAATATTGCTAATATCGAGTTGTCAAGGTGAGGAGGTGAAGTGGTTTAACTAGTATTGCAATAGGCTTTAGAGAGAACAACGTGCACACAAGCTTCAATGAAAATTAAACATAGAACATTAAAAGGATAAAGTAAATTAACACTTAAATAAAAAAGAATTATACGCCGAATACACTAATTGGTATGAACGTTTACGAATGTATGAAAAACGGTGCGAGACAAACAATGAGCGGCCATTTTGAGTATGAGAGATTACACGGCGAGGTAATAGTACCCCGAACCCCACTTTATCTATATGGACAGATGACGTAGATATAATTGTAAGTGTGGAAAGAAAAATAGAAATAGATAATAATTAAATTTAAGTAAATTTAAATAAAGAACAACCAAATTTAAAACATAAAGTAAATAAAAATGTTACACATCTTAAAATAGTCAACTACAATTGTAATGATAATAATGAATTTCAAATATAATAATTATTTTTTTCTTCCATGAAATTTTTAGAGGCTAGAAGTATGTTCAAGAAACGGACCAAATAACAAAGTTTTTTACGCAGCATTATAATATTCTTATGTCACCCCCCCCCACAATGATTAAATAATAGATTAATTTACTAATACTAATTTCAAAAAAAATAAGTTTTATTTTAGATCTAAAAACTAATAATTAATGTGTAATAAAATAACATCAAAACTAACAAAAATAGATGAAAAGTTTAAATAACAAATATAAATAATAATAAATTAATATGCAAGAAAAGTTAAAATTATTAATTATCTTTATAATATAAATAACTCTTATAATTTTACTTAAAACAAAGATAAGAATTATCTATATTCCAGGAGATCTAAAATTTTGAAAAATATTTAATAATCTTATTCACAAAATATTAACTATAAGGTAGTTAAAATTAAATTAAAAACTTTTTTTAATGTAATTATAATGGTTAATTAAAATTTAAGATAAAGAATTACTACATAAACTAACATTTCCTTTTATATAGGAAAACTACAATTCAGTTACCTACTTATACAATCATGAAAAAGAAAACTATTTTAATTGTTTTAATAAAAAAAGAACCATAAAATTAAAAATATTTCAATTTTTATTAATTTGATTAAATTAGCACATTATTTTAAGAGGTTTATCTACTCTATACTTATGACAAAGCATATAAACTTTAGTTTAAAGCTTGAATATTTATAAATAAAATTAGTTTAATACTCAATTATAATAATATAAATATTTAACTTTTTAAATAAAATTATTATACTTTTATTAGACATGATATGAAGATAGAATAGATTAATCATTTGAAATAGTATATTAAAAAATATATTTTGTTTGTAAAATATGACTCAAAAAAATACAAATTGTCATAAGTTTATTAAAAATGTTTTATTAATATTTAACAAAAAGTATTAAATTTCCTTAAAAATTAAAACAATTAACTAAATTTTAGCTACTCACAAAATTTACAATTTACGACGTTTCCTCGCTCTTAAAGGTGTCCATGATACAGGTGTATCATCTGTTACTGATACAATATTGAGACCACCCATAGTGAGACCTTTTATTGATGACTGAAATGACATAAAAATTATAAATAGAACCCATTAGAAAATAATAAGATGACATGAAAAACTATAATTTAAATTTAAATAGTTCTTAGTGCATGAAAAGAAAATAAATCAAAACTATCTAACTATACAAAAAAAAAAAAAACATTTTTCTGCTAAAACTTTTACATTTTTAGTTTTTCTATAATCAAAAAGATTCAATTTTCAACTTTCAACATAATAAGATAGTAATAATATTGGTGGTTTATCAAGATATCTCTATAAATAGAAAATTTTCATTTAATTTGTTATAATGAATGTTTTGTATTTTATGTCATTATACGCCATGTAGTTTTAAGCTGTAATAATCATGATAGACATTTCTTATTTAGAATTCACTGTTACTAAATGAAATGTCTATCATAATTTTAAGATAATTCATTTTAGGAATAAGCAACTTACCCCTCTTTCACACTTAACAGTGAATTTTAAATTTGGAAGTAGAGTGCATTAATTATAAATACAATATAGATAGTAATTTTTTTAAATAAATATTTACATTAAAACTATTCAACAATGCAAAATTTCTTCAATTAAATTCAAATTAAACAAAAAAAGTCATCTTCCAAATTATTTGTGAATTATAAATAACATACCTAACCTGACATTAGTAGAATAAATCCCTAGGTGACAACTACCCAAATATATACAAATATTTCTTATTAAATTTATACATAATATTTAGTATGTTCATGTAAATTGAATATATTATACTACTCTCCTCCAAATAAATAAGAAATGTAATTATTCTAAATAAATTTTTTTCTTATTTATTCAATAATTCTATTTAAATGTATCAAATAAAATAAATGAAATTTTTTTAAAGAAGTATATTAAAGACAAATTATCAAGCATAATTTATAAAAAAATAAAACTTACTAATCTACCAGGTCCTAAACCTTGTATTGTCACTCTAACTGTTCGTATACCAATATCCATAACTCTCTAAAAAGAATTGTAAATTATTATAATGATACATCAAATTCAATATTTTCATGTGTATATCATCCAGAGTTTTGCTGGAAGATTTTTAATAATAGTCATCCTGATACATATGAATTATATATTAAATAATAATGTGTGTCAAATTCATAGATTTCATGATCACTTATTTGAGTAAAATACATAATGTAAGATAGCAGAGTGGACAAGATGTCTATTATACACGATAGTTATACAATTATTATAAGTACAAATTTACACTATGTTAAGGAATGTAGCTCATAGAATATCAAAATGAAATTGATAGTTAAATCAACATTTTTTTTAGGAAAACTTCAAAAAACTAAATAAAATAAAACGTTTTCACAGTTACTACAAAATTAAAATTTCATGACTTTTCCAGCCGATAAAAAAAAAAAAACCATACTTAACTTTAAGGATAAAGGTATACATGCATAATTTTCTTTTTTTTTTGCTATTATCAGCCCCCATTTAGGGCTATCAAAGCCTCCCCAAAGAAGGTTTCTTTACCATTTGTACTCAAATGGGACAGGTCGTTAGTCTGTCACCGGGGAGAAGGATAGCAACTCCAAATACCAAACTGATCTCTAGTTTGGACTCCCGTGACCGAATTTCAAACTCGAGGCAGTGCCCGTCAAAAACTGCCACGTTACCAACTTGGTCACACCATCCATCACATACATGCATAATACATTATTTATATAGACTGTGTTTGATTTTATCAACCTCTCTCTTAGTATTAATGTTTAATTACCAATTGAAATTTTGGAAATAGATTGGGTTTAATCAAACTTAAAAACACTTCCTAATCTACCACCTCCTTACCAAGAGATATAGACTTATGAGATGATTTATAAAAATAAATCATCATAATTTTATTAAAATTTTTGATTAAAGATAATAACTAATGATGGGCATTTTCGAATATTTTAAACTATCGAATAACTATTCTAATTGTTTTTATACAACCGAATAGTTTATTTTTAGTATAAACTATCGAATAGTTTTAAAAAATATTCGATTAGTTCTATCTAAAATTTTTATTAAGTACACTTAATTATAATAAGAAGATAATTAACGAATACTTAAAATAAATTATTATACAATTAATAATAGTAAAAACCCAGCACAGGGGGGTCGCGGCACAGTGGTGACGTGGTATAGATGGATCAAGTATAATGATATCTGACAGTGATTAAAATCACTATAAAAAAAAAAACGCTTCGATGCAAATCTTTAGATACTGTTTAATTTTAAAAAATTGGTGGACTATTCCAAAAGCTACATGATCTGCTAGTTCATTATTAATATCCTAATTAAGATAAAGTATGTAGAATGAAAAAGGGATTATTAAAAAATATTATTTCTCATAAAAAAATAATGTTGATCCATACACTTTTCAATATGTCATAGCATTATAAAGTTAAAAATGTAAAAAATAAAATCGAGAATTTTCACACAATAATAGCATTCGGTAGCCATTTTCACCGTGAAGATAAAATAAAGTCCGAAATTTTTTTTTCGCATAATAAAGTAAATTACATTAGCTTTAATTTAAGATATATATAAAAGTGTCAGACCTACTGGAACATTTTCAAAAGTTAAGTTGAAAAAGTTAATTTTTTGTGAAAAAGTTGTCATTTTAAATCCCCCCTAGTGGGCAGATAAAGAGTCAAATTTACAAAAAAAATATATCAAATGATAGGTAAAGACATCAAGCATCTATAAAAAAAAAAATTATATTGATATGTTTATTTTTGAAAAAGTTACGGCACATTTAAATAAAAAAAATTGAAAAAATTTCGAAAATTAGCGATTTTTAAATTTGTAATTTTTTTGGAGGTTTTCCCCATTTACGGGGAACGAAGGAAATTTTTTCAATTTTTGAGGGTAATGTCTTCGACTAGATACGATTTGTGATCTTTTGACGTATCGTTGAAAGAAATCCGTTCGGTGAGAGCTAAGAAAAAGTGGTAACAGACACAAAAAAAAAAAATTAACACATCTTAGTAAAACCAATGCCTTCTCAGCTTCGCATCGAAGCTAAAATTAGTGATGGGCATTTTCAAATATTTTAAACTATCGTATAACTATTTGAATTGTGTTTATAAAACCGAATAGTTTATTTTTAGCATAAACTATTCGAATACATTGTGTAACTGTTGAATATTTTTACTATTAGAATATTTTTTGAATGACTATCGAATAGTTTGATAGTTACTATTTGATATTTCCCATCACTAGTAATAAAAGTTTTAACCAAGAAAATTTGAACTCTTAATTCTTCCCTTATGATAGAATTAATTTTTAATTAGACATTTTTAAAAATGTAAGCAGTCCCAAGATTGACAAAAAATATGCACACATGGCTCCTCTGGATATTTAAAAGTAATTACACATTTAAATCATTAACATTTTAACTTTCATACGAATCTGAAAAGGTATTAATTTTAGCATGATGTATTTTTTTTTTTTTTCATAAATTCTAAGCTCTCAATGAGCTGAATTTGATGATCTAAGAAAGAACCTGATTTTAAATTAATAAAACTATTAAAAGACAAAAATTGAAGAAAAAAATTCCTTAATTTCAGGAATTTAGAAAAGTATCTTAAAATTAGATAGCCACCAATTCAAAAGAGAAAAATCAGAAATTTTTCTGCATTTTAAAATTACAATACTTTTTATTAAAAAGTTGAATTTATATGAAATTATAATACAACACATTTATAATAAAAATATTTCTTCTGATATTCTATTCATGAAAGTATAATAGAAAATTTGAGTGCAAGAAAGGTTTGAACAAGACCACCAATATAAAATTTTTTTTCTTTAATTTCAATTTTTTAACATTATCTTACACAAAATCAGAATTTATTACAAATTTAATAACATAGATTTAGAAATCAAATTTAGTTACTCTATAATTTGTAACTTTGAATAAAATTACTAAATATTAAAAAATAAGAAATGCTTACTGTGGCAAGACCAATAGCTGTAGCTTGGGCAGCTATGTTTGTACCTTTTCTTGTGTTTTTAAATCCTTCCATACCGCAAGATCTTATCATAATTCTTTCACCTTAAAAGTAATATAAAATATTTTAACTATCATAAATCACTCTTCTTAAACAAAAAATGAGGTTAAATAATTTTTAAATGTTTGTTAAATAAGTATTGAATAAATTGTTTTGTTCCATTTTAGACACATATTGGATAAATATGGCATACAGAAATATTTATATTATAAAACAAAATAAATTAATGGTTTCAAAAAATTTCCGAGTATAAAATATACATTTATTATAAAAAAAAAATAGTTACTATAAATAGATTATTTATTTAAAACAATATAATAGAAATATAGGGGTATAATTGCCAAGTACTTAGGAAAAGTTTATGAAAAGAGCACAGAAACTCTTTAAAATAAATAGGCAATATGACAGTACTAACAAATTATAAGAGGAAATGGCAAGGACTTCTGCTATTTCATTGTCTGAAATACTTATATGATTAGAAGTTAAAGATTAGAAGCTTAAAATCGATTAAAAAAAAAAAATTTAGTTCAGAAATAATTTTTTGCAAGCCAAATGCTTTGCGATACATGAGGATCTGATATATTATATTTAAGATCATATATGATACCATCACATTTGGTTTAAAAAATACTATTAATAGACATTTTCTGTAGGGATCTAACATTATCAAATTAAAAGTCTTAAAAGTTGGATGCTATAAGGAATCAATTTATGAACAGTCATATAAAAGAAATTTCTTATTAGATTCCAGGAAATTAAAATTTTAATTTTAATCAATTTAAATCTTACCGTTACTTTTTGTTAAATGAAGTATTGTGTTATTCTTTGAAGACTTTATGTGACAAATAGGTAATTCAGAAAATTTGATGCCACCAACCAACATATCTGGAGTTTTGTCATCTGGATACATGTCTTCTTTCCTCAATAATTTATTATTTTAAAAGATTAATCTTAATAATTTAAAAATATTTCAATTAATTATAAAGAATGTAAACTAAATTAGAATCATTAAAACATCAATTATAAATTTATTGTACTTAATTAAGTAATTATACACGATAATTATTGGGATAAGAACATAGTCAAACAAATCAACCCTAAACAGAACTTTGGTTTTTTCTCCCTCCACTCAAGTGATTAATAAAACAAAATTTTAATTCATTTAAAATGTGTAAAAATAGTTGTATAAAATAAATAAAGCACACAAAACAGTAGTTAAATAATAAAACTAAAATTGATTGTTTCTAAAATCAAAATGTTTGGTATTAAAAAAAATGGCGTCTTGATATCGACACAAAATCAGTAAATTTGAATGAAATCAATATTTTTTATTAACTAGACTTACTTCGTAATGATCGAATCGATAGATATGAATTTTTCTCCATCCGTACCTTCGTCTATTGAAGGTACAGACGCCAAAAAACTTCGACGATCTCTATTTTTAAAGGATGGAAATGAAGTACATAACTGGCAGACATTTTGATTCTTCGCGCTCACTATCATATACCTTGAGGTCAATTTTTTATTAAAATAGCTAATTATACGGGTAAACATTTTATCATTCTTTTTATTCTTTAATACTTAATACAACATTTGTTTAGTAGCTAAACAAATTATATCTGCAATAAATTAAAAAAATATTACTATATCGCGAAAGAAATAGCGAAAAATTAAGGTTTTAACCCAAAGATCTACACACTAAAGTAACAGTATAACTTTAAACGTGTTACTACGCATGAAGATAATTATTATACGCAATTATCAGTAAAAAAAAGATACGTCATGACCATGACGTTCATCACCGGTTGAGGTAATAGAATAGTGACCGAGTGAATATTATTAAACTAGTCGATAGTCTAAAACTATCGATTTAACCAGCTGTTCTCAAAAACTTAACAGAAACAAATGTTCTTCGATAGTATTTAGTTATCGAAACTGAACAGTTGAACCAGACAATATGAAAAGTCTGAACATTTTCATGTAGTCTGTGGTCAAACTGTTCCCATTAATTAAATGATTACTAACCATTAAGCATATTATCGTTTTAAAACAATAAATGAAAATTTGTATGACAGAATTCTTTTGACCATTTAACACAATTAAATAATTTATACAGTAGTTTTTATTAGAATGCAAACAAAATTGAACATTTTGTTCAGTAGTTCAACTGGTTAGTTTTTTAGTAACTACGGATATTTCCCGTAATCAAAACTATTCGATAGTGCCCATTACTAAAATAGAATATATAATGTGATTTGTTGCGCAGGTTTAATATAACCACAAACCGCATAATATAGACAATAAACTAAATATCTAACACTTTTATATAGCCTGTATTCCCCGGTAAAATCAAATAGCCACCATCTTTTTTAGGCTCAACCTTTATTTCCTTTACGTTGTATAGAAAAAATTATTTTGTTATTAGAGATAACAAAATAATTGAATATAAAGTAATGATGGGCAATTATCAAAATTTAATCGAAATGAAAATATTGATCGATTTAAAATTCGGACAAAATTATATGATTTTTCGATTAAAATTTTTTTTTTAAATAAATATGTATTAATATGCCGATAGTTAATAATGTGGTAAACTGGGGTTTCTACGTCCAATTTGCCCACGCGGATAAGTGTAATCGAGAAGAGTCAAAATAATAACTATAATGTAACATTCATCGATTGTACACTGACCACCGAGTGAGTGGTCAGGTCCCTTTTTATTAGAAATAATAATCAATTAACAATGTTTCTAGTGTTATAGTTTCTAATACAATTAATAATAATCTATTATTTACTTTTACTTTCTAATAATACAAATTCCTTAAAACTAATATTTACATATAGTTATGAGTTCATGACAATAAAATAATTAACTAGACAGCGTTTTTGAATACATTAAAACTCTAAAATAAAATAAATTTATAAATTTGCATAATACATTTCATTATAATAGATGATAAACTAGTGATATGTTACTGAATAACTCTGGTATAACCTTTGATATAAGAATAATAATAAAAAAAGGAAACACAGCACAGTGAGGTCGCAGCACAGATGGGACGTGGCATAATTGGGTCCAGTATAAATTTAATCGGACAGTGATTAAAATCACTATCATTAGAAACGCTTCAATGCAAATCTGTAGACAGTGTTTAATTCTATGAAATTGGTGGTTAATTATAAAAGCAAAATATTTTAAATTATATATTATACAATTTTTATAATTAATTATTTTCAAATTATTATTGATTTTTATTTTTAATATGTTAAAAATAATAATTCTAACCTACTTTTTTCGTCTTTTAAAGAGAAAGTTTATAATAAAAAAAAAATGAATGTTACCATAACTTTTAGCTCAACTTACAAGTTTGAAATTGACATCATTAATTAGAAAAACGGTAGCACAGTGGGGTCGAGGCACAGTGTGGACGAGGCATAGATAGGACAAGTATAGATGATATCTGACAGTGATTANTAAAATTGTTAAGATTAATATGTAGTCAGCAAATTTTATAATTACTATTTACAGTAAATTTATCAGAAATGCTCTATTTTTTTTTTTTTGCATTTTTATCGATATAGATCACTTAAATAGAAATCATAGTAATCATTTATAATTAACTTTTGGTGTAAATATTTACTTTAACTATAAAAACCAATAAAAAAAAGTTGTTAAAAAGATCTACTCAATTGAGAGTATTATAAAAATTTATCAGAAATGCTCGATTTTTGACCGAATCAATATAATTTTTTGTTTATAGATACCTTAGGTATTTACCTATCATTTTATATATTTTTGTGAACATTTGACCCTTTACAAGCCCACAGGAAGGGTTTCAAAATAATAACTTTTCCAACTTAACTTTTGAAAATAGTCCGGAAAGACTGACACTTTTATATATATATCATAAATTAAAGCTTATGTAATATACTTTAATTTGAAAAAAAAAAAAATTTGACCTCTGGACTTGTCTTTGTGGTGAAAATGAACATCAAAATTAAAGAAAAACGTACGATTTCCGTTAAAAAATTCTCGATTTTATATTTTATATAACATTTGGAAAAATGTATTGATCAATATTATTATTTTTTTATAGTAAATTTTTATATACCCCTTTCATCGGACACGCTTTTTTTGTAAATCGGATCATACCTCTTTATACAAGGGGGGTCAAAACTTTAAACATGCGTATTGAAACTAGGACTTTTTGAATTTAATTTTTGAAAGTATTCCGGAAATACTGACACTTTTATATATATATTAAATTAAAGCTTATGTAATATGCTTTAATTAGAAAAAAAAAAAATTTTACCTCTGGGCTTGTCTTCATAGTAAAAATTACTACCGTATTCAAAAATATGCTATTTTTGTGTTAAAATTCTGGGTTTTGTAATTTATTTCATTTTAAAATACCTTACAAGAGGGGTACAGATTTTCATAAATATTATATAAAAAAAATTAATATAGCATAGAAAGTTAAACTTCTTTAAATTTTTTTGCTATTTGAAGCCGAGAAAATTAACTTTGAAATTTGAACTAGCTTAAATAGCTAATTTTTTCAGCGTACGGTAAGGACGTACGGTTACCGAGTTGGTGACAATTGTCACCAAATTATTTTCTCTGCTATAACTTGACCTACTTTTTTCAACGATATGTCAAATGACTACAATTCGTATCTAGTTAAAGATATTACCCTCAAAAATTGAAAAAAAATTCTAATTTATCAATTACAAACAGTTAGTTATTCTATGTTCTCCATAATGACAATTAAAATCATTCATTTTTAATGTTTTCAAAGTATTTATTGGCGAATTAAGTTTGATATGATAGGTTTCAACTACAAAATTAAATCATTTTACTTTGTAATTTAATAATTTTTTTACTCTATTTGTGTGTGCTACTACTAGACTATAATATTCCAAATTTTTTGGTAACATGTTGCTATATAAATCATTTCTAAAAAAAATGATTGTTAGTTTCTCCTGAATCAATAATGGATTTTTACAATTATAATCAAATTTATTATACGNAAATGGATTTTTACAATTATAATCAAATTTATTATACGCTCAATTGAGTAAATCTTTTTAACAACTTTGTTTTGATTGGTTCATTTAGTTAAAGTAAATCATTAAATTTAATTAAGTTCTGAATATTTCAATTGCAGAATCTTTTCAAGCACCAAAAGTTACTAGGAAATTATTACTATTACTTCTATTTAAGTTATCTATTACTATAATTTAATAATTAGAATTAGAATTTATTCATATGTTATATTTTAAAATCAAAGAACTACTAATCAGGGTATAATCAAAGAAATAAGAGTTGATGTTGCTTTGGGAATAATCCACAAATTTCTCTAAATGAAACACTATCTACAGATTTACATCGAAGCGTTTCTTATGATAGTCATTTTAATCACTGTCAGATATCATCCATACTTGTCCCATATATGCCTCGTCTACACTGTGCTACCGCTTTTTTTTCATTTTTATCCTAATAAAATTTTTATTGTAATCGATCACTTAAATATAAATCATAGTAATCATTTATAATTAACTATTGGTGTTTAAAAAGAATCTACTATTAAAATATGCAGGACTGAATTAATTTTAATGATTTACTTTAACTAAAAATACCTATAAAAAAAAAGTTGTTATAAAGATTTACCCAATTTAGCATATTATAAAATTTGATTATAATTGTAAAAATCCATTGTTACATTCAGGTGAAACTGAAAGTCATTTTTATTTTTAGATCTGTATATAGTGTTTTATTTAGAGAAATTTGTGGATTATTCCAAAAGCAACATCAACTCTTATTTCTTTGATTATATCCTAATTAGTAGTTCTTTGATTTTAAAATATAATATATGAATAAATACTAATTATAATTATGAAATTTAGTATGAAATTGATATTCAATAATTTAATATTGTAATTTAAACGGTGAAATTATAAAAATAATAAAGAAGTTATATTTTGCTTTATTTTTACGTGTATAAAAATTTAAATGGCTTGATACAATAAATTTTAATAAAAACTGTTTGTTACTATAAATAAATGCACTGAACTACAAGGAACTTTCATCAGTAACAAAAATATACCATTCTAAATCAACTTTTCGCGATGTTTTCAAATCTGCAATTAGACTTTTTCTATCACTTCTAAGTTTTAATATTATCAAAAATTAGTAATTACATATAAAAAATTCGCATCGAAGCTAAAAAATTAGCTATTTAAGCTAACTCAAATTTAAAAATTACTTTTTCGACTTTAAAAAAGTAAAAAAAATTTAATAAGTTTAATTTCTTATGTCTTATGAACTTTATTCTATGTCAATTAAATTATATAATCATCATGAAAGTCAATGTATTCCCCTAATAAGATATTTTAAAATAAAATCTAGAATTTTAATACAAAAATATCATATTTTTGAATACGGTAGCCATTTGCGCATAGAAGATAGGTCGTTGGGACAAATTTTTTTTTTAATTTTATAGTACATGACATAAGCTTTAATTTGACATATGTTTAAAGGACGCAGTATTTCCGGAACATTTTCAAAAGTTAAGTAGAAAAAGTTAGTTTTTGTAAAAAAGTTGCTAATTTAAATCCCCCCCAATGAGCAGAATAAGTGTTAGATTTTCAAAAAAATGATATAAAATAAAAGGGAAATATCTAAGGTTTTAGTATAAAAAAAAATTATGTTGATTTGTTTATTTTTGAAAAAGTTATGGAAGTTTAAAAAAAAAAATGAAAAAAATGACAAAATTTACCGATTTTTAAATTTGTAATTTTTTTGGATATTTCCCCCATCTGCGGGGAACGAGGAAAAATTTTTCAATTTTTAAGGGTAATGCCTTCAACTAGATACGATTTGTGATCTTTTGAAGTATTGTTGAAAGAAATCGGTCCAGTGAGAGCTGAGAAAAAGTGGCAACAGATATAAAAAAAAAAAAAAAAAAGCACATTATAGTAAAATTAATACCTTCTCAGATTCGCATCAAAGCTAAAAACTAAAAAACACGCTTATAAAGCACATCGAACTAAAGTGTTTAAAATTAATTTAAAACAATAATGTACGAAAAATACTAGTATTATTGTGAAAATTAGCGTCAGGCGCTCAGTATACGAAAAATATGGCACAAAGCACACCGCTTTTATCACAATAATTCTAGTACTTTTCGTACATTATTGTTTTACGCTTCTTTTAAAAATTATTTTGAAGTTTTTAGTTCGATGTGCTTTAAAAGTGTGTTTTTTAGTTTTTTTAAACTATATTTATTTGTCACTTTTTAATTTCATGTTATGATAGTAGTTAATATCAATATCATGGTTGTAACGGGTAAAGGGGATTCAGGGTTCGATTCCAGGGGGGAGTCTGAGAAACGGCTACCACATCGAAAGAAAGCAGCAGGCGCGCAACGTGGAGGTAGTGACGAAAAATGACGATACGGGAATCATCCTTTGTAATCGGAATAAATACCCTATTTGACCGCCAAGTTGTGCTCTCTTATGCAGAATATTCACCGTAATATATATATATATATATGAAATTTCAAGCACAGATTATATAAAACGTTTTATCTAATCTGTGGGTTTAGTTTGTTAAATGTGTTCACATGGTTGTTTAAATTTGAGACTCAATTATCTGGCTTGATTAACTTCAGTATTTATCTTCTCGAATATCTGTCAATTGAAATCAAAATAATAAATGAATTTTTCGTAATTTTCTTGTGTAGTTTTATTGTTTAATTAAAATTTATTTTTCCAGTATATTAGTGACTATTTTATCATTAAATATTATCAATCATTCATCTTAAATTAAATCTCAATATTTTTAATTTAATTTAATAGCATAAAAAAATGTTTGTAATGGAAAGTTGAGCCTCTATCCCATTTCAAATTTTTTTTGGAGTATGATTTAATATAATGTTTAATTTGTTTTTTGGAAAGCTGTTATTATGCTCCTTTAGTTGATACAACTCAAATCATAGATACTATGATTTACGAAGGTCATTAAAACTTTGATAGAGGTTGAATTTTTATTTTTGGCGATTAATTTGGAGGATCACAAAAAATCATAGATACTATGATTTACGAAGGTCATTAAAACTTTGATAGAGGTTGAATTTTTATTTTTGGCGATTAATTTGGAGGATCACAAAAAATCATAGATACTATGATTTACGAAGGTCATTAAAACTTTGATAGAGGTTGAATTTTTATTTTTGGCGATTAATTTGGAGGATCACAAAAAATCATAGATACTATGATTTACGAAGGTCATTAAAACTTTGATAGAGGTTGAATTTTTATTTTTGGCGATTAATTTGGAGGATCACAAAAAATCATAGATACTATGATTTACGAAGGTCATTAAAACTTTGATAGAGGTTGAATTTTTATTTTTGGCGATTAATTTGGAGGATCACAAAAATACGTTTTATAAATTTCCTTAAAACCAAAGTCGCATTAAGGAATTATGCCGCATGAGATATTCAATTCTGCCACATTCTATTTATTATTTATTTTGCTTATCAAAAAAATATCTAAATTATTCAATCCAAACTTTCATCAATTATTAAATACATTCTAATTTCGAAGCTCAATTGATTTGTTAATAATTTTTAGTTTTATAAATAATATTATTTTTTTACAGTAATTAAACAAATATGTATTTATTCACCTTGGAGAAAATATTCAATTTTTTTAATGACAATTCAAAATTTCCCTTGCCATATTTGTTTCTTATAAGATTCGAAAATGGATCTTAGTTTTATTTTTATACAATATTTTCCATATACGCAATTTTCTGGAATTATGGGAACTTGGTCTTCTAAAATTTTATTACAGAAACTCCTTCCCCAAAGAAAAAATTATGAAAATTACATATATTATTACATAGAAATATATATATATATATATTTATAGAAGAAAGAAGTAAACTTAAAAAATAGAAAAAAGACTAATTTTTAAGATATTTTTTATTACGACTCATAAAATTTAAGTTATTCTAAATTTTAAATTGTACTTTATCACTTATAACGTTTTATATATTCTTCATCAACATTAAAAGCTTAACTAAATAAAAAAAAAAAAAGATTAAGTAGATTTATATTTTACATAGCTCCCAAATATGTATAGTTAAGTAATAATTAAGTTAATAAAAAAAAAAATTGCTAATGAAACTATTAAAATATTGAATGTCAATATAAAAAATGACTATGTATTAATTTATTTTTTACTTTAAACATAATATATTTCATTTTGATTTTAAATACTCTAAAAAGCTATTTATATTTTGATTTATCACCCATGAATTACGTAACTACTGTATTATAAAATAGTTAATTCAGTTCTTTGTAGAATAATCAAAAATAAAAAAAGTTGTTAGTATTATGTAAGGTTATTAAAAATCTAACTATATCAGTAAATCCTCATGTTACTCGTTTAGTAGAGTAACAGCATCATTATAACAGGTTCAAAGTTTTTTAATAAAAAAATTTACGATTATGATAATGTTCACACAGTTGAAATTTCATTAAAACTTTATATGTATCGTTATACAAAAAAAATTGTTAAGGAAAGAAAAAATCTATCCCCTCTTCTAATTTATTTATTAGTGAGAATGAGTTGGTTAATCCAACAAATTCAGTTCTGAATTATCAGTTAGTTGTTTATTAGAAAACATCATAAGCTATATCTTTATATAGTCTATGATAACAGTCATAAATAGAAATGATATGTAATGCGACGTACTTTTGTCGGTACTATTAATGTGATGATACTTTGTCTAGGATTAAAATTATTAATAGGTAACTATAATTTTAACCATACAATTAATTATTTGTAAAACAATGCCAATTTGCTGAAAAATAGTATCAATCTTTTATTTTATAAATTATTATACTTTATAAACAGTTAAACTTTTTTTAAATTAAAAAAATGAGTGTTCCTGTTGCAATTGGTTCTACCTTTTTTGGTTGTATGAGTAATGTTGTATTTCTAGAACTACTCGTTAAGTAAGTTGATATATGTAAACAAATTGTCTATAATTACTTTTTTATTGATGATTGTATATTACAGACAAGATCCTGGAATTGGAAATTTAATAACATTTTCGCAATTTTTATTAATTGCAATCCATGGATTCATTTTTACTGCCAAATTTGGAACTAAGAAACCTAGTATCAGTATCAAGTACGTAAATTTTGCGTCTTGATGTTTCTCATTTTTATTGATAACTGAATTTATTGAAAATTTGTAAAACTAAATTCATTTTTTTTATTAGATATAAAATGTACTTAATTTATAATAGTTTATTTTATAAGATAAATTGATGCATATTTAAGTTTCTTATGTGGTAACATACTGATCAATTTGTTAATTTTTTAGGTAGCTAATATTTTGTTGAGACTAAGCCCCGTTAGTCTCTTAAGTTGCAATCATGTTATTTATAAACCATTTTTCTAATAATGACATAAATTAAAAATTAGGGTTGTCATCAATAGTGTTGCTTGAGTGTTTTATTGTTTTTATTGATAATCAACTATAGATTTTATTAAAAAATTTTATTCAAAATGTATATATTATCATAAACTATTTAATTATCTATGTGACTGAGTCGGTAATGAGGCAGTGTTTGAGGCGCACTGCCTTGGATTTGAAACTCGGTCACGGGCAGCTTAATTTTTCGAACAAGAGATCAGTTCAGTAATTGGAGTCTCCATCCCTCTCTCTGGTGACGGACTAACCACCCGTCTCGGAATTAAAATGGTTAAAAAACCTCCTCCTTTGGGGAAGGCTACTATGGCTCTTAATGGGCTGATAAAGCAGTAATGATAAAAAAAAAAAAAATGTAATTATCTATAAAATAAAAGTGGTTTTAGGAATTTTATTACTATTTTGTATAAAATCTCTGATATATCTTTACATTATATAATTACATTAGTTTTTAATATTATAATTAGTATTAGCAAAATTATTAGTAAATATGAAAACATAAATTTCAAAAAAAGTATTGCCAGCTGCTTATTAAATTGAATTCTCAAAAAAGTTACATTATTATTTGTGGTATTGACCACAGCTTGTATGTTCATGCGTTTGCATGATCTTTTTTTCTACAATGAGAAATTAAGTGAGATAAATTCCATTTCATTACTATGGTAATAAAACTTGGAAGTTTCAGCTTCAATACATCAAAAGATCACAAATTATATCTAGTTGAAGACATTATCTTCAAAAATTGAAAAAATTTGCCTCATTCTATGTAAATAGAAATCTTCAAAAAAATTACAAATTTAAAAATCTTAGCGATTGTATTTATTAATTATTTATACAAACTTAATAATCAAACATAAATATTTGTTTTATTAATCCTTTAGAATTTTGTTATTATTTGTGAAAGGCTATATTTCATATATGAGAGTCTAATTACAGATTAGAAATAGGTCCAAAAATGAATTTAGAAAAGTATATTTTAGTCTCTAATGAAAATTCCTTGTAGACCAGTAAATTTATTTATAAATAACAAACAATTTTCCATAAAAGTAATAACTACTTTATAATTTCTTCGTAAAAATTACATTACTAAATTAATAAATATCAATTTTATACTTCATTTAATTGCTATAATAAATATTTATTCATAAATAATAAAACTATAATCAGGATATAAATAAATAAATAGGAGTTCATTTTGCTTTGAATAATCCATTAACTTTTTAAAATTAAACACTATTTACAGATTTGCATCGAAGCGTTTTTTATTATAGTGATATTAATTACTGTCAGATTAAGTTTATACTGAACCCAACTATGCCACGAACAGACTGTGCTGAGATTTTTATGAATACATGATTTTGCATATTTCTTTTATGCATATTAAGAATATTGTTAATTTATTTGAACTATTAGTGAATATTATTTTTTATAATATCATTAAAATCATTTTGATAATAAGTAAAAATTATATTAAAATAAAATGTCTTAACATATTATGGTTTTCATTTCCTATTGTATTTATAAGTTCTTAGTAATTCTTTACTTAAATATGACTGTTACAATTATACTAGAGTAAAGAATTAGAATTATAGGGTAAAACATATATGAACTACAAAATGAAAATAATGTTATTAAATTACACAGTTAAACAAAATTTGAATCATAGAATGTTTATTGAATCTTTTTTTTTTTATGGTATTTTTTTTTGTGCTGATTGGGAATATGACTTTAATTTTTCTTTACTGTCAATATTTCAGTCACAATTTGGATATTTGTCAAATTACTTTTTTTTATTATTTAAAATATTAATTAAAAAAAAAAAAATTAAGTACCTCTTAATTATGTTTATTTTATTATGTTAATTTATGCAAATTTTGAAATTATTCTGAAAGTATTTACTTTTAATATAAACTTTTTAAATTGAGATTTACAGCAGTTCTATAAAAGGTAAAGCCAATTTTTCTTTTATAATTTTGTTTTTATTAACATTTATGCTTTTTGTACATATTTATAAAATTCTCTTCAATATAATAATTAATATATAGCAATATAAATATTTATAAAAAAAAAAATGTATAAGATGTAAGATCAGTTTTTCCATTTTTAAATTACTGTAAAACTTAACCTAAAATTCATATCAAAGGGGAAAATTTACAGAATGATTTCGAGATTTGTTAAATTATCATTATGATACTATAAACATTGATTTTATATAGTACTTTCAATATGCTTACAATGCATATTTGCATGCCGTTTAATATTTTGAGTTTTTTAGTGCATGAATGTACAAACACTAGTACTGTCTAAGTTATTACTTTTTCATTTTGAAAAAATTTTCAAGTTATGATTATATTGTTTAAATTTTAATTAGTTATACAATTGAATTTTATAATTTTACTATAACTGGAACAATATATATAGAGTGATTAATTTATTATGGAACATAGATTTTTTTTTCTTTGTCAACCCGAAGTTAGTTTACAGCTCCAATTCTTCATTATAACCGGCTACCCGCCTTTTCTTTAAGTTCCTTAAAAATTTTGACTCTTGCATCACATTTAATTTGTCCTATATAAGAGTTTCAGGGACGTCCTGCAGTTTTTTTCTATCTATCATACTCTGTCATATATATTATGTAACTCGTCTGGGTGTCTCAGGGCTTGTCCAAACATTTTCCAGCGTCTTGCTCTAATCTTATCTATGAGTGTGCGTTTTTCTCCATAGCTCTAAGTACTTCTTTATTTATTTTCCGCTCTATCCAACTTATTTTTTTCATACGTCACCAACATCACATCTCGAAGGCTTCTAGTGTTTTCTTTTTGGTATCTTATATTACCCAAGTTTTACAACTATGTAAAACTGTGTTGCAACATTCCATATATATGTTTTTATAAGTCTCTTCTTGATATTGAGATATAACTTTTTGAAGTAAGCAACTTATGTTTTTTACTAAAGGCAGTTTTTGCTAATGCTATGCGTTATTTTAGCTCGCGGTGCTCTTACTATCAGATGTGATTTTGCTCCCTAGGTATACCATTTCCTTTATTTTTTCAAGGTTTTGTCTATCTATGTATACATCATCTTTTACTTTCGGGTCTTTGGCACAGACTAAGATTTTCACTTTTGCACTATTTATTTTCATTTCTGATGTTCTGAGCATTTCATCCATATCTTCAACTGCATGTTATATGTCACCTTTACTCTCTGCTATTACTACAATGTCATCGGCAAATTGTATCATTGAAACAATTTCTCCACCAATTTTGATTCCAATATTTAGTCTTGTTAGCTTTCACTATATTTATAACTTTTTTAATGTAGCAGTTAAAAATTGATAGTGATAATCTACACCCTTGTCGGACTCCTTTTTTAATGTAAGCTGTCTGATTCTTGTAAAGACTGAGGATGATTCTTAGGTCATGTTCAACATCTATTTCTCGTAATGTGAGCAGCATTTTGTTCCAATTTACTTTGTCGAAGGCTTTTTACAAGTCTATTAAGGCCGAGTATGTAACTTTATTTTAGCACCCGCAGTCCTAAAATTACTTCTCGTGTACCTTTTTGTCTTCTAAATCCACATTGGTTATTTTTTAAGTACTGCTCCACTTTTCCTTTTATTTTTCGATTTATTTTTTTTGTTAAGATTTTTGATACATGTGTCAGTAGACTAAGTGTTTTAAACTGTTCACAAGACAAGTGGCATAATTGTGATTTCTCCTAAAATAATAATAAAATTGGAAAAAAAATTTTTGATTTATTGAGAAGTATTTATTTTTCAATTTAGGGAAGGTCTATTTAAGAAAATTACTGATGATAGCAACTTCTTAAAATAGTTTAGGACTTATGAATACTTTCATACTTGATAAAATTGAATCAATTGTAAAATCATGTTAACCTTAAAATTTAAGGTTTAAGTATAAATAATAGATTATAGGTTTTAATTTATGATATTTATTTTTATTTTCAGAGGTTATTTGGTTTTAGTAGTAATGTTTTTTGTAACAAATGTGTTAAACAATTATGCATTTGATTTGAATATTGCCATGCCACTGCATATGATATTTCGAGCGGTATATTGATTACAAATACTTTTTTTTTTTAATATAAACTATAAGTTCAAAAAAAAAATTAGTACAATATTAAAACAGTGTTCATACATTATAAAAATATTTATTAAATTTAGGGTTCTTTAATAGCTAACATGGTGATGGGTATAATCATCCTCAAAAAAAGGTACAGTCTTGACAAATATATATCAGTTATCATGATAACAATTGGTATTTCAGTTTGTACTATTGTGTCTAGTCAAGATGTAGTGAGTATTCTAATTATTTTCAGTACTTAAAATATCATTATATATATTATAGTTTCTTTGATTTGAATGTATCATAACTTGGGCATGTTTGGAAGCATAGTATAAAATATTTGTTAAATATTGACTAAATAAAATTTAATTTGAGCATGTCAAATATCAATCTATTTTTTCTAATGTTAAAATTTGGTAAAATATAATTATATCCTATTTTGACTTGCTTTTATAGTTAAAATAAGCTACAAATTTTTTTCTGTGAAGACAAATTTTATCTAATTATAATAGGTAACATTTAAACATATTTTTACAGTTTTACTGTGTTGTTTAATATTATGTGAAATGAAAACTGCGTGGTTTAAGTAGGGTTAGGCCTCCTTCATAAACTATTATAATATCTGTTTAATAATTTTCTGATAACATATATATATTTTACATACAGGGAGATTAATATATGGGTAAGATAATCAATTTTTCAGAATCTATTTAAAATTGTATATTACTAAAAAAAAAAGTGATTTAACTATAAATGCATTTTATTAAAAAATATTCCCTAAAATTAGGATTAGATTTTTTTTTGTTTGTTTTTATTATTAAAATTTTATTGAATTTTTTTTGTTTAATGTAAATGGGTTCAAAAAAAAATTTAAATGTAATGTTTGAAATTTATTTATTTGTGTTTTATTAAGAATTGTTTTATGTTATAAATTATATTATGTATTAAAATATTCACTTTTATTGATATAAATTTTTTTTTTATTTCTTGATAGCATTTTGACAACATTTTTTGTTTTTAATATAATGTTATTCATATATATTTTTGGCATGTCTATAATATCCTTTAGGTTTAAAAATTATATAATCATTTAGAGCAAGGATTTATTTATACCAAAAATTTATTTTAAAATAAAATAAAATTTTATATTATGAATGACTATAATTTTTTTTTTTTTAGAAAAAAACTGTTATACGAGGGGTTGAACAGAATACTTCTGAATTCGAAGATTTTTTTTGGTGGTGTTTAGGTATAGTATAATATTTATAGTTTTTTTTAAATCTTACTACTTATTTAATTATTCTTAAACAATTATATTAATCATATTATTTTAATGTATAAAAGTTGTAATTTTTCATTTGATTGACTTTTAATTTTTTTAGCTTCGATGTGAAGTTAAGAAGATATTAATTTTACCATAATGTGTTTATTTTATTATGTCTATCACTACTTTTTCTCAGCTCACTGAACAGATTTTCTCAATTATACATCAAAAGATCACAAATCATATCTAGTTGAAGACATTATCTTCAAAAATTGAAAATTTTTCTCTCATTCCCCTTAAATGGTGGATATCAACCAAAAAATTACGATTTTTAAAATCGGTAAATTTCGACATTTTTTCATTTTTTTACTCTAAAAATTGCTATAACTTATTTAAAAATGAACAAATCAAAATTATTTTTTATTTATATTGAAACCTCAGGTATTTCCCTATTATTTGATATAATTTTTTTAAAAAACGAACCTTTACTTTCTTACAAAGTTGATTCAAAATAGCAACTTTTTTTACAAAACTCAACTTATTCAACTTGACTTTTCAAAATTTTGTTAAATTAAAGTTTATGCTACGTACTATAAATTAAATATAAAAATTTGTTCCGACGACCTATCTTCTATGTGCAAATATGGTTGCCTTGATTTGATAAATTCAGAGTTTGTTTCATTTTTATCTCAATTATATTGAATAACTTCAATAAATATAAATGATGATCCCATCACTGAAGTCTCTCCTCTTGAGAAAAAATTTTTTATTCATATTAAAATATCCGGAAATATTGAAACTTATTTAATCTTAAATTAAAGTTTATGTAATATACATAAAAATTTTTTTAAATAAATTACTAAAAAGAATTTTGAGATATAGTGGATATAGTTATCATATTCAAAAATTTGCTATTTTTGTGTTAAAATTCTTGGTATTGTATTTTAATTTATTTTAATATACCTTATAATGGGGTACACTGATTATCATGAATATTATATAAAACTAATTGACATAGAATATAAAGTTATACATATTTCAATTTTTTTTTTTTTTTTTTAAAGTCAAAAAAATTAATTTTAACATTGGAATTAGCTTAAATTGCCAATTTTATCAAAAAACGAATGCAACAAAAGTTTGCATATTCAGTAAAAATCATTGCTTGTGACAATGATTTTTTTGCAATTTTTCCTTAATTATTTTTGAGTTAGAATTTTGCTTTTGAATAATCCACCAATTTCTTAAAATTAAACACTATCTATAGACTTGCATCAAAGCATTTCTTATGATAGTGATTTTAATCACTGTCAGATATCATCTATACCAGTCCCAACTATACAATGTTCACACTGTGCTACCGTTGTTTTTTGTTGTTCTTTTGTTATATACATTTTATTTGTTTAATTTATCTATTTTTATTTTCAATTGCAACATACATATCTAATACGTTTATATAGCTTTTTCTACTTTCCCTCTGCATATATATATTTTTTTTGATTATTGATATTTCAAAGTTATAAACTTCCATAAGAGTTATGGAAGCTTTTATCGTAATTTTATAATTACATAATTTATTGAATTTGTAGTTCCTGTATAGTTACAATTAAAATAAACATGGTGCTTATAAATCAAGTATCAAATACTTGATAGTAAAATTATATATTTAAAAATAATTAAAGTTACTTGAATAAACTCTTAGAGTTGCTTTATTAATATATTTACATCATTAAATTTAAGGTCACTCTCAAAAGATATTAGCCACTAAGTATTTAAATAATAATTATGATTTAGTAAAAATCAATTTAACTTTTAGGAATAACATGTTTAACTGTTGCATTGTTCATTTCTGCTCGAATGGGTATTTATCAAGAAACATTGTACAAAAAACATGGGAAACATCCTCAAGAAGCTTTATTTTACACTGTAAGGAAAATAACTATATAATGTTAAAAGTTAAAATGCTATCATATATTTTATTTATTCATCAACTTATCTTTGCCGTCCTCTCTTAAAAGCTACTGCTTGTGCTAGAGAGGATGGTAAAATATACCTAGCTTATTACTATGAAATCAAATCTTGGTACCTATAAATGAAAGCATAATGTTTTCTCCAAATAAGGTAAGTACGGGAACCTATTAATAAGTTTTTTAATTATTGATGATTTGTAAATAAATTATTCATAACTTTGTTTGAAATTTAATTTTTGTACATTTTATAGTAAAAAAAATTATACATCGCAATAATATTACTAAACAGTATTGGCAAATAAATTTTTTTTTTTAGTTCTGAAAACCCAAATATTTTTTTATTTTTTAATCCAAAAAGCATTGATTGCCGCTAAACATGTATTTAAGGTTGCTATGTTTAAAATATCTGTATAAGAAAAATAATTTAATTCTTATAATTTTATTATCATATAATATACCTTTCTTTGAGTATACTAATTGTATTTTTATATTTTTTAGCATTTACTGCCATTGCCTTGGTTTCTATTTCTGTACTCAAATTTAAAAGAACATACTATAATGGCATTTGAAAGTGAACCTTTACCATACATAAATTTAAATGTACCTAGTACAGTTATCTATTTAATTGGAAATGTAATTACACAGTATCCTTTGATTAATGTTTAATAATCTTATCATTTTGAAAATATTTATTAATATATTTTAAAACAAGATTTTAAGAATTTTTTTCTTAATTATTTTAATTTTAGATATTTATGCATAAGTTCAGTGTATTTTTTAACTACTGAGTGTTCATCGTTAACTGTAACTCTGGTATTAACACTCAGAAAGTTTACCAGCTTATTATTCAGCATAATATATTTCAGGAATCCATTCACACTTTATCATTGGATTGGAACTATTTTAGTATTTGTTGGTACAATTATTTTTACTGAATTACTACAAAAATTATCAGCTTTAACTTCCCCAAAAAAAACCAAAACCAATTAAAAATTATTGTCTATTTCTTTTTATAGTCAAAATGTAGATTTTTTAAAAGTTAAAAAAAAATTGTAAAACAAAGTATTTATTTAATTTATATTGTATTTGACAATAATGTTAATAATTTACAGAATTAATATTATAAGGCTAAATTTTATAAGAAATTAAATGTGATATGATAATTATTTATAAAACTTAATTTATTTTTATAGTGTAATTACACAATAATCAATGTGTTATTGAGTAAAAACACAAAATGGTGCATTTCCTATAACTAAAAAAGTTTTTATTAATTTTTATTCATTGATGAAAACCAAAATCTTTGCTAAAAGCAACTATTATGTCATGTAAACTAAAGTAGGTACCAGTTACAAAACCTAGCAAACCTAAGATAATTGTTATAATATCCATTTGAAGTTTCCACTTATAAGCTCCAAATCCTTCTTCTTTCCATACAACCATATGGCAAATCGGTGGAAATATTAGAGCCAAAAACGTACTTGCAATTGCTCCTACTAATGATATAAATAATGCCAAATGAGGTATTACTTCAGCTGCAATAACTGTAAGTTAAAAATTCAATATTAAATATATTCTATAAAGCTTTAAATAATTTTCTTACATGTTGCAAAAACTAGAGCTGCTCGTAGGAGGTATTCAGCTAAAGCTGGTGATTGGAATGGTCCATACTTTTCTTGTACAGATGGCCATAATATAGCAACAGGTACATAGAATTGTAGAGTATAAGTGCAAATTATCGCAAACACCATCAAACCAACAACAATTTTAGATAAACTAGAAATATCGGTTAATTTTTAAATACATGCAATTATAAATTAGCAATTAGGGAGAAATTACATTAATGTTGGTGGAAGATTGAGTGTAAGGCTGCCTTTAACATCATCACCAAATCTCCAGAAGCCAACAAATCCCATTGTTAAAATGATAAATGTTACAATTGTCATACCAATGTTTAACACACCCAGAGTTGATGCAAATCGATTAGGTTTTTTCATTTCCAATTGAAGAGGTAATACCTAAAATCGTTTAATTTTTTATTCATTGTGATGGTAATATTGCTGGACTAATATAAAATAAAAAAAACCCAGTACAATAGATACCCATCATATCAGAGACCTGGAAAATTGGATACCAGAGTATTAATTGAAATCTGACAACGATTAACATTACTGTCATAAAATGATTCTATGTGAATGTGCTTGAAGAAAGTTCGACTTTTTGGAGATTGCTAGTTTTTAACTAGCTATTAAACTAAAATTTTTTTTCAACTCTATGAGATCATTGTTACATAACCATATTATCAAATTTATTTTTGTTTTAAGAATTTCATGCACAATTTATTATTTTAATTAATTGGGGAATTAGCAATATAAGGGGTCGTCGGCTTGGCCCAATGAGTAGAGATGTATGTTTCGGGTACCAACGAGATGATTCTCGTGATTATCTTGTTGGTGGTGACTGGTCTCTGGTGCAAACTTGCCATAATACTCGTCCCGTCAATTATTGGTTTAGCTAAGAACCATCTTTGACTTCCTAATATGTGAAAGAGGGCCACCCTTTATGTAGCATGTTAAGTTCAGAAAATAGAAGGTATTAAAGTAATTGATTTAGCAATACATAATAAAATATTCCATATTTAAAAAACTAAACCTAGTTAAGTGTGTCTGTTAACACATTGATGGATATACTAATGAAAGTCTTTTTGTAATTTTATTATTACTATTATTTTATTAATTTCCCAGTTTTTCAGTAATGTAGTTCCAAATTAATTCCATTGAATTTATATGAGTGGTACGTACTAGACTGATTCCTTCAAAAGCGTAAATAGCTGTGCCAAAGAATAAAGGTATTTGTGACCAATGTGCAACCGCTGTTCTAGTAGCTAATGGTGGTAAGTCTACTAAACAATATGATAAAATTATGCCTAATCCAATAGCCATTGAAATATTCGCGGCGGTGGATAGTGGCGCTATAAACTTTAAATTTCTTATCATAGCACAAGACATGATTGGAATTAGTGCAAACACCATATGAATGTGAATGTCTAATACTTTTCCATATTCATCACAAAACTAAAAAATAAGAAAGTCTTATTACATTCTTTAAAATATTATTTTATAGAGTTTAATGTTTGAATGGTTATAATGAATGACTAACTTGTTTAATTGAGCTAGACACAAATAATATGTATACACAACAAAAACCCAATTGAGTAATTATAACAAATACATTAACTGTAGTCCTAAAATTAAAACAAATTTTATTTTAAAAATATTGTGTAAATTAATTCTACGGGAAGTTAGCTATTAATAGAATGCTATAAATAGAATAGCTATTCTATTTAATAAAAAAAATTATTTTACCTAAATAAATCTGCATGTTTCTGTAACCGTTTCGGTCCAGTAGCAAATGATAACTCAACTGTTTCGGAAAATGTCGGGCAATGTTCCAGTTTCAGTCGGCTCTTCAATTTATGAGCAACATTTAACTAAAGAAAATATATACATTAAATAGCTTTAGAAAAATAATTTTTTTTCAATTTTGACAGTCCCAACCGTTAAAAATATTTCAATTCAAATAAAGAAATAAATTATTGTTACAAAATTTGGTCAATAATGAATAACCCTACGGCGCTCAAGAGGGTTGAAAATTGGACACAAGGAAGTTGGGTAGTTTTTATATTTTCCTTGTTACATACACTATCACGTGTTTGTGATTAAATTTATAAATTCTCAAATTTATGAGAATATAAATTATAAATTAAATAAAAAAAAACAAAAGTTTTAAATAAGTTTTTATTTTTAATTTAAAATTTTTATTGAAAAAAATTTAATTTATACATTTTATTTTTGCCGAGAAATTCCCGTATTTTTTAAATTTAGTTTCTTTGGATAAACTGTTTAATATACGATTAAACATTTTATGGAAAAATAGCTGAAAATTAGAATTCCTTTGATTAATGTTCAATATTTTTTTTTGTACATTTCAATGGCATACAGGTATATTATAAAGGCGATATATTAAACAGCCTTTAACTAAAAATATGGATTTTTCAGTATAATTTATATTTGAGTTGTTATCCTTCTATCATTTCATCTCAACAATTTGGAGTTTATGCTTTCCAATAACCACGGTTTCTTCTATTTCTTCACATTTTGACTCTACCGGTGAATTAAGTATTTAAATTTATTCTTATAAAAAATTATGGAATAGTATCAAGACCCATTAAAAAATATTTTATTAATATTTTCAATATATATTATATTAATAAAAAAAGTTAGTGGCCACTATTGGTTAAATACAATTCTTATTCGACACGATAACGAAAATAACATAATGGTTTTAACTTGGTACATTATAATATTTATTTTATTATAAAATCAAATATCATGACTTTGAGTTTTACTTACCAATATGTGATTGTTGTAAATGCAGACAGTACCGATAAAAACAGTGAGTAGTGGTGCCATTAAAAGACCACCATTTCTAAAAGCATCTCCCATTGCTAGCATACCACATCCTATGTTACCTTTTAAAAGATGCATAAGAGTCTCGCAGTATCTAGGATATACATTTTTTATTACTTAATTGAAATATTTAATGTATTTATCGAGTTTTACGTAGTAGGGTGTTCAGAAACAGGATGGCCATGCACTGCTTTTGCAACGGCTTCTGATTTTTCCTTGTCTATTACAGAAGAGTTAGCTTCGACATCTTGTCCACTGCTCTTGCAAGACTTGTCGCCCATTTTTAACGACTCTAATTTATATATATATATATATATATTGAATTATAATACTATTAATTATGAAATTGTTCAAATGCAACTATGATAATATTCAGAGTTATATCTCTAATTTATTTATCTATAAATTATGTAATCTAAAATTTCTATGTCTTAAGGTTCTATTTACTTTGATCTTAGCAATTTCAGTTAAATAATAATTTAATTATAATTAAGTTATTAAAATCATTTATTTTTTCGCTATTAAAAATTGGAGTACAAAATTTTCTAGATGCTAAAGCTTCCTATATTTAACTTGATATGATATTCTTAATGGTTTTTAACACGCTTCTATTAATTTCACGTGTATATTGTAAGTTTGTTTGTAACTCCACGTGCCATGTGTTATTTATTCTCGCGTATCCCGTTGTCTATGACCTTGAGACTACTATGTCGTAACGCATTCACCCCACCCCGACACCACGTGCCGGCAACACTAATTCTGTGTATTTTTATTTTTGGTTTTCGTACCCGTAAATGCGCACGTGTCATCTATATTATATATAAATATAATAAATTTTTTATTGTTTATTATTAGATATAAACATTTAAAGATTCAATTTTTTTAAATTTAATATACATGTATAATATAGAGGGTGTTCAGTAAATAAGGAAACGAATTTCTATTGTACTCATTGTTTGTAACAATTTAACTGTTTCCTAACTTACTGAACACCCCTGTATAAGGGATTACAAATAAAGGTAGCTAATTGGTTTTTTATGACGATATTCGCAGGTATATAACCTTTATTATCAATGGTGATAAAATACATTGTTGTGAATTTATAAACACATTAACTGGAAATACAGAAATTATATCTATTGATAGTCATAATTCACAATAAACACTCCGTGACTGTGACAGCGATGTCATAAAAAACTAAAAAGTGAAAAATAAATATATAGTTTAAAAAAGCTAAAAACTACGCTTTTAAAGCATATATGTAGAACAACACGTAAAATATTAGATTATTGTTTACCTGCTGCAAACTTTTTAACATACATTCAATATCTCATGAGTGATTGAAACTGTCGTGGAATCATTTTACGTATTTATAATTATTTTCATTAAATGATAATGTTGTCTATAATGTTTGAATATTGTCTATGCAATGGAGTTGTCGCGTTTAAGGATAATCATTATTATAATTGAATATTGGTGTTTCAGTGTTAATATTAATTAAAAATTACCTAATTGAAAGTATTTTTTATCGATGATAAATTAATAAAAAATAATGAGTTTTTTAATACTTGAATTACGTATTATAATACGTGATTTAGAAATATTTTTAATTGTTTAATAAAGTTTAAATTTTTTCAATAACTTATGTTTACACATAGGCGGCATAAAGATTTAAGTTGAGGCAGCAAAAATTTATATCAGCCCGTAACCTTTCCTAAACGGCTCATAGATTATTCAGTTTAAAAACTTAATGTAGTACAATAAAACAAATTACTATTTAATCCTTAGTAGTAGTTTTCTCTTTTGAGTTACTATTACAAGCGAACCATTTTAATAAATTGGACCAATTGAGGGCAGCAAAAACTCCCTGTGCTTGCCCCTGTAGGCACGCTTATGGTTTTGCATAATATCGTTGGCCTAGTGCCGAAACTCATTAACAGTTAATATAATTTTTTTTTAAATTTCCTATTATTAACATTTGGAGTACAAATAATTGATCTTTATTTTGTTGAGACAATGTAAAACACAGTTAAAATATTTATACCGTTTATATAAAAAAATCAAAATTACTCATTTGTACATTTAAAAGCTGCAAGACCGCATTTGGGTGGCTGTGTTGCCCTTTGACCCCAGCGACATATTTATGACTCTTTTAGGGGGCGGAAAATGTTTACAAAACACTATGATACCAAGGTATTGTGTAAATTGTTGCTGGTATTATCATCTAAAAATTGTAATTATTATGTTTTACCCATATCCAAAAAAAATATGTTCCGTGGTTAGAATTCTACTAATTTTGATCTATTTTTTTGCTTAAAGGGGTGTCCAAAAAAATTGGTCAGGGAGCGCCAAATGTTCAAATGTGAAGCAAAATGTTGCTATTTATTTATTGTTTAGTTAAAATTTTTTTTTTTAATTTGTATTAAACATTTTACTATTTGAAATAGTTAATTTGCTATAGTTATTCCATTCGCATTCATATACTATTTGATTTAAGATACAAAAATATACTGATTGTATTAATGTACAATATTAACATTTTTATTTTATTCAATTTGAAAATTGTTATATAAATTAATATATTTTATACATTTCAGCAATTTGAAAACTATTTTTAACTTTTGTAACTTTTTATTTCCAGTTGTAATATTTTTATTTTGTGTTTAATACACAGTTAATTATTGTGTTATACGTACGAATATTTAAATACGAGTTCAATTCAACGTGACGACTTGTTTGGAGGAAATTGTTTTATAATGTTAAATTAAAACACTGCGATCGAATATATTATGAATGACTTTTAGTTACTTTAAAAATGCATTATAGATATTTAGTTTATCGAACTAACACAAATTTACGTAATTCATACAAGACACAGTTATTTATAAATAAATATTATATGTGTGTGTAATATGTTAAAAAATATTATAAAAATGGATAATTTTAATAACACAAATTAAACATAATGTACTAAATAATATTATAGTCTATTAATCTGTTACAATGTAGTTAATTTTCTAATATTAATTTAGTTTATTCGGTCGTGTAACTAAATAGTATACTAGGGACAACTACTCTTTAAATGGATGTTATGAATTTACAACAAATAACAAAAAATATTGTTTTTTTGTTTTAAAAATTGTTTACAATTTATATATGAATTTTATAATGAATTTCAACGCTGATTCTGAATCTGGCTTCAAATATTTTTTTCACATCTAGTAGTTCTTCAGATTTCAGATTCTTCAATACACTATAACCATTGTTAAAAAGAGGCTAACACAGTGGATCGCGGCACACTAGGGACAAAAATATAGATGATATCTGACGGTGATTAAAATTACTATCATATTAAACGCTTGGATGGAAATCTTTAGATAGTGTTTAATTTTTTAAAGGAATTATTAAATTATTCTATAAGCAACATTGTACTCTTATTTTATTATTTATATCCTGATTACAAGTTTTATGATTTATAAGACTTATAAATCATAAAACTTAATTTATTACACTTAGTGTTATAAATTAATAAATATTTACAAATACAAAACAATTTGTATAGTATTTAATTTAGTATGAAATTGATATTAAATAATTAAGTATTGTAATTTCTATGGAAAAATTATAAAAAGTTATTTGTTGATGTAAAGTAAGTGATTCACCAATATGATAATATAAGTCACTCAAATTTGACTTAAAATAATAATTATATCCAGAAAATTCTTTTTTGGAATTTTTTTTTACTTTATATATTTCTCAATTTCTCAATTTATTAATTTTTAATTTTTTTTTAAATTCATATCATATACCTTATAAGGATATCAACTTTATTTTAGCTTCGATGCGAAGCTGAGAAGGTATTAATTTTACTAAGATGTGTGTTTTTTTTTTTTTTATTTTTTT